TAATATTTTGCTTTGTCATCCCATGCTGCCTTTTGAAATCTTCTATTCAACTCTTCAGTATCTTGAATTCTTCCCTGTGCTTTGGCTTCTCTGCACTCCAGTGCAATTTTCAGAGTCTCTTCTGACATCCATTTTGGTCTTTTCTTCCTCTTCTGGTGTAGCTTCTTATAAATATCAATTGGCAAGGTATAACAACACCTTAGTCTTTAAACTGACATCTCTCCTTTTTAGAACTTTGGACTGGTCCTCGATAACTCATTTCCCCAATGCAAGGAGTGTCTTGATTTCTGACCACTGCTACCATTGGTGTTGATAATGGATGCAAGTAAAATGGAATCACAGATAACTCCATTCTTTTCTCCATTTATCATGATGTTGCTTATTGGCCTGGTGTTGAGGAATTTTATTTTCTTGATGTTGAGATGTAATTTATATTGAAGGCTGTAGTCTTTGATCTTCGGCAATAAAGGCTGCATGTCTTTTTCACTTTCTGCAAGCAAGGCTGTACCATCTGCACAATACAGAGAGTTAATTATTTCTTTCCTCCAATTCTGATGCCACATTCTTCTCCATATAGTCCAGCTTCTCAAACTGTTTGTTCAGCGTAAAGACTGAATAAGTATGGAGAAAAGATTTATCTCTAACATAGAGCTTTCCTGATTTAAAATCTGGCTGAGTTTCCTTATTTTATTCAGACAAATCTTTCTTGGTCTATGTATAGCCTAAGGTGTGCCTGATCCAAGCCTTGGTATTTTCAATTACTTCCTATGCATCTGATATCAGACAATGAATAAAGAATACAAAGAAATACTGCTGCCTTTGAATTGTGATGTTAGCAAAGAGCATTAAGTATACCATGGACTGCCAAAAAAGCAAATATATTTATCTTAAAGGAAGTGGAACAAAAATGTTCCTTAGAGGCAAGGATGGTCTAACCTCATCTCACTTATTTTGGGCAAATTTTCAGGAGGAACTACTCCTCAGAGAGAGACATCTTGCTGGTGAAGTCTGAGGTTTGGGGAAAGAGAGGAAGACTCTCAACAAGACTGACTGAAACAGTGGGCTTGAGCATGACAAATATCATGAGGATGTAGACTAGGGCAAGGTCTACATCTGTTGTTTATAGGGTCACTATGAATCGTAGTCGACCAGATGGCACCTAACATCACTACCTCATTAGCACGTCCAAAAGAGATGCTGGTACTACAAGGCCTGACTCAGGGCAGCAGCTTCCTGGACTCTATGTGTCAGTACTGAATTCCATTACAACAAAAAACCAAACTAGTTACTGTCAAGCCAATGCTGAGTCACAATAAACCCTGTGTCAGACCAGAACTGTTTCACAGGGTGTTCATTGCTTATTATTTGGAATTAAATCGCCAGGCCTTTCTTCTAAAGCACTTCTGGGTAGGCTTCAATCTATCCATTAGCTGCCAACGCACTAACCAATTTCAACACCCAGAAATTCCCATAAGAACTATCAAATCAGCCTATGCTCAGGCCCAAAACAACAGGTGAGGTAGCAAAAAAACAAAACAACAACAAAAATAAATAAACACAGTATATTTCTGTTTCTGATGCCGATGCGTAGGATGGAGAAGTGGGTGGTTAAAGCAGATGTCTCAGGATCCCAGTCCTCCAACCAGCCAGGTTGAGGGGCCAGTCGCACCTCCTGTTGGCTTACCATGGTTTCCACTCCGTAGGCAATGGGGCCACAATGCCCTCCCGTGCCAACCACATCAACTCTGGCTCCTTAATGGGGTCGATACCAATCTCCCTGGCAAATTCAAGAATTTCTGCAAGGAGAAGTGGGTGGATAAGGAAGGGAAGAGACAGGGTTAGAAAAAAAAAGTCTTTGCCTTTATTTCAAAAATTTCTCCAGTGAGCAGGTCGTATTTCTCTCAATATCAACAATAAATATACATAAATTTATTAAATCCTAGTTTATAAATGTTATACATAAATGAAGACATGCTACCTCCCTACTCTAAGAATATAACCTGAAATCTAGTATAATGTTGTTACGTGCCACTGAGTCGCTTGCGACTCACAGCGACCCTATGTACAACAGCTCTGAACCCTGTTCTATCCTGTGCCAACCTTATTGTCTCTGATACACCAACCCTTATTACCCCAGTCATTGAATCAGTCCATCTCATTGAGGGCCTTTCTCTCTTTGCTGTCTCTCTACACTTCCAAGTATGATGTCCCTCTCCAAGGAATGGCCACTCCTTACAACATGCCCAAAGTACGTCAGATGAAGCTTCAGAAACCTTGACTTCAAGGAGCAGCCTGGTATCACCCTCTCTAGGATGAATCTGTCTGTTCTCCTGTCAGTCCATGTTACGTTCCAAACTCTTCTCCAGCACTTCAGCTCAAAGGCATCAATTCTTTTTTTTATCATCCCTAGTCATTGTTCAGTTTTCTGACACATGGCAAGTAATAACATCAACATGGAGAGAGAGTTCAGCTGGCCCAGTGGACAGAAGGCGATGCTACCAAGCCAAAGATGGGTGACTTTAAATCTGCGGCCCCCAGGCCAGTCTTTCATTGTTTTTGTTCAGACATTCCTCTAGGTTGTATAGCCCTGGTGTACAAGTTGCTGTACAGTGGTGGTCACTTTTGGTTGCTGTGAGGCTGAACACTGTGACACTAATGTGTCAAAAGCGTTAATGGCTGGTTACCCAATGCAGACAGACAGTGGGGTGGAGCTCCCCAATGAAAACAAGCTTGGAAGGAGGAGTGGCATCCACTTCCGTAATAGCTTGCCTCTGAAAACCCTATGAACCTGGAGAGAGGATGAGAGACACCCAAGCGTTGAGGACCCTCCTTCCTAGGGTCACTATGAGTCGCCTGTGACTCAATGGCACTTAACAACAACAACAATAATGGTCTAGATTAGGTGCACCTTAGTCTCCAGTCTTCAGTACTCTGGAGAGGTCCCTGACAGCAGACTTTCCCAATGCAATCAGTCTTTTGATTTCCTGGCTGCTAGTATCAAGAGTGTTGACTGTGGAGCCAAGCAAACTAAAGCTGTTAACAATCTCAATCTCTTCACCATCTAGTACAATACAGATATAAAAATAAATTAAAAAAATAAAACTTCAACAGCAGGGATTCCAGAGAAAATGAGAGCAACCATAGTTAAAGCCAGTTAGGACGAGGATAGCCTTATCAGAGCATAAACTCTCCCAAGGTTTGCAAAAGCTCAGTGCAAAAGTCATTCACACAACAGGCATGCCTTAAATAACCACAAATGATTAAACCCCTTGAGATCTCTACAAATGCACACACAGCACAAATTGAGTGCTAAGTGTTATAACTGACATGCATGTGTCCTGTGAGCAATGGGAGCAGAAAGAAGGCAGTGGTTTGTTCTGTCGAGAGGCTGAGGGAGACGTGAGGTTAAGAAGTGACTTTAGCAAGAAGCTGCAACTACAGTCTCAGAGGTGCACGGTTCAAATCCACCAGATGCTCTGCTGGAGAAGGGGGAACAATCTCCTCCTGTACCAGTCAGATCTGATTTGACGGTACACACAAAAAAATAATGAAATAAAATAAATTTAAAAAAAAAAGGAAGTGACTTTAACACACATACAGAGAGAGAGAGAGAGAGAGGAATTTCTCTTCCATGATATCAGGGACTCTAAAGCTGTTGCTAAGTGCTTTTGGAATCAAGCATTTAGAAAAAGGTTTTCTGCCAGAGACTGAGTAGAAAGTAGGTGCTAATATGTTCTGAGTTACAGTGATCTCACCTAGCACCAAAAGGAGAAATCAGGCATGTTACCAGAAGTCTCAGGAATAATGAAATAAATGCTCCAGAAGCAGCAATAACAGCCTAGGCCAGAAAGGTGTCATCATTAGGCATCCTCTCAGTGGAGAATTAGAAGGCTTACCGACTTAGGGGCACACTCACTGCTGTCAAGTTAGAATTGACCCACAGCTGACCCTCCACTGGGTTTCCAAGGCTGTTAATCACACAGGAGGAGACCGTCCATCTTTCTCCTGAGGAGCAGCTGGTGGATTCAAACCATCTGCCTTTGGGCATCAAGACTAGAGGAAGACTCAACAGCAACCTCCAATATGCAGCTTGCTTGCCAAAACTGAGGATGACCTGAAACATTTGCTGCAGAAGATCAAGGACTGTAAGTCTTCAATATAGATTGAGGCTCTACATTAAGATGACAAAGATTCTCACCACTGGGCCAACTGGCAGCACCATGATAGATGGAGAAGAGACTGGGGTTGTTAACAATTTCAGCTTGCTCAGCTCCACAATCAACACTCTTGGCACCAGCACTCAAGAAATGAAAAGACGAATTGCAATAGGGAAGTCTGCTGTCAGGGACCTCTCCAAAGTGCTAAAAAGTAATGATATCAGTTTAGGGACTAAGGTTCACCTGATCCTGGCTATGCTCTTTGCAATTGCTTGCTATGTATCAGAGAGCTGGACAATGACTAAGGGTGACAGAAGAATCGATGTCTTTGAGTTGTGGTGCTGGAAAAGAACACTGAACATACTATGCACCACCAAGAGAACAACAGGTTTGTATTGGAGAGAAGTTTCTCCTTGGAGGTAAGGATTCTTGAAGCTCCATCTCACATACTTTGGGCACCTGTCCAGGAGGGACTGTACTTGGAGAAGGACATCATGCTCAGAAGGGTACAGGGACAGTGCTGGAATAGAAGACCTCTGGATGAGATGGACACAGTATCTGAGGTAACGAGGGTAGGTGTGTTGGAGTCAGTGATACTGGCTCAGAGCTTTTGTACATAGGGCTGCTATGAGTTACAAGTGACTCAATGACACATAACAGGCCACCTACTAGAGCTAGCACCTTGAATTAAGACCACTAGCCACCTAAACTAAACAAATTATTAAACAAATTTCTGTTTGTTAAAGTTACCCATTTGTAGCATTTCCATTATAACAGTACTACATGACTAAGATGATGAAATAGAGAACATTATGGTGGATAGGAACTCCTTTAGAAAGGGTGGTCCAGGAAAGCCTTTCAGGAATGGTGACATTTAGCTAAAAACTCATGGAAGTCAGGAGCAAGCCAGGCAGAGCACTGAGGAACAAACATCAAAGCAGAACAAAGTGCACGTGGAAAGGACCCATGGCAAGAAACAGCCCGGTCCACCTGAGGACTGTCGAGGAAGAACAATATAGTGAGCAGAGTAAACAAGGGAAGGAGAGAGTGGCACCAGGTAAACCTGGCCACGGGGACAGCTGAGTCCTGAAGACTCCTGCACACCACAATAAGAGGGTAATACTTATACACTACAATAAGAAGGTAAGACTTAACATAATGTAAAGTTATTAAAAGTAGAACCGTGATATGATCCAATTCCTATATGCATGCATAGATACATATATACATACATTTATATTAAGCATGACGCCTGATATGAAGGGAGGCTAATGAGAAAGTCACTGAAATAGACCAGGAAGAGAACATGGGGGACTGAGTGCAGAATGTCTAAGCTTGGGCTGAGTAGAAGAGAATTTTTATAAACATCCTTTATAAACCATTAGATTCTATTTATAATCACAACCAAATAAAGATAAAATATTTAAGAAATAAACTGGGGGGGGGGAGAAAAAAACTGAGCAAGAAATGTGTAAGACTTATATGAAGAAATCTGTAAAGCACTCATAGAAGATTCAAAGGGGAAAGAAACCAATGTTCTTACAATGAAGTCTTAACTTCACAGAAGTCCTAATCTTCTGTAGGTTTTCATAAATTTAACACAATTCCTCCCAAAATATCAATATTTCCTCTATACTTAATTCTCCCCAAAACTAGACTAGGTGATTCTAAAAGTGCTGTTATCTCTATTAGATATCAAAATTAACTCCACAGTAATGAAGAGCACAGTACTGGAGTATGAGTAGATGGACAGTGCAATGGCCCAGAAAACAAAGTAGACAGAAATGCGCACAGGTGGCATCCAAATCGGTGGGAGGGGGAAATGAAATGTTCCTTTAATGGCACAGGGATAACTAATAAAAACATGGGGGTTAAGAAACCTGGATCATGGGAGCTCTGATGGCCTAGTGGCAAGAAGCTGCACTGCAATCCCAGAGGCTCATGGTTCAAATCCACCAGATGCTCTGCTGGGTAAGGAGGGACAATCTCCTCCTGTACCAGTCAGATCTGATTTGACGGTACATGCACACAAATAATAAAATAAAAATTTAAAAAAAAACCCTGGATCAGTATTTCACAACATACACTAGGGAGAGAAATTTCACATGGAAAAAGATTTAAATGTAAAAACATGAAATCACACACACAAAAAAAACCCAGAAAACAGAAGAGAAATATTTTACCTTTGAAGTAAGGAAAGATTTTTTAAGTATAACACAAAATTCAGTGACACAATGACTAATAAAACACATAAACTAAAGAGTTAGAATATCTAGGGTTGGGTCTTAGTTCCAACACAAAGTTGTTGTTGTTGTTGTTGTTGCTGTTGTTGATTGCCGTCAAGTCGAGCACCACTCATAGTGACTCCATGAACAAAAGACCTAATGCCTTTCTATAACTATTGTCGTTTCTCCAAGTTCATAAAGTTTCCATAGGCATGTGGTTGAGGAAGTAGATGCCATTCCTGCTTCCAAACCTGTTGTACAACTGGGAGGTCGACCAAACACTGTCCACACTGGGGAATCATTATGGCATTTCACACCCCAATGGCACAAGGTTCAGCGTCACAGCAAACTCAGATTACTTCAGTACAGCAAAGTGACAAAGAGTGATGTACAAAGTAGAAGAATGTTCCTTCAAAATACATAGCAACTCTAGTCTCAGTAGTGATTATACAAAGTAGAAATTAATAAACACAGGAAGGTTACCTAATCTGTATTCAGGTTTTCTCCTCCATAAAATGGGGAGAATCACAGGACCTAATAACATAAGTACGTGTCATTTAGCATCTGTCTGATCACATATATACACATGGGCCAGGGCACCGGCATGTCTGAGTGCCCTGACAGTAGATCCTTGCTTTGAGCTTGGAGCCCACTTCTACCTGGATGCTGCACACAGCTATCTACCAGGCAGCAATGGAGACCCAGATCCAAACTCCCAAGTCTGGTCCTCTCAGCTCCTGCAACTTACTACGTCTACTTCAAGCATTTCACTCAGATTGGTTCCACAAGGCACCAAGGGAAAGGCATGCGTCTTGGCTCCCTGGACCTCCTAGGTGTGCACCAAGGCCTCCTCTGGCAGGTTCTTATGGGAAAGCTGGCCTTCCCTAGAGCTGGCTTGGAAGAGAAAGCAGGGACTCCTGGGTGCAGCCAGCTGGGTGCTGACCTGACGTGCTCAAAGCAGGAATTTCCTGGGCAGAGTTTCATAGTGGCCCCTGAGATGCTGCATCCAGGAGGCCCTTACTCCAAGGACATAAATGTTCACACAATGTCAAAAACACCTAACATCCTATTTGATAAGCATCATGGACTGGACCTTAATGGGTACATACCTGCATTACTTTCAGGGTCTAAAAGATTAATGCATGTTAAAGTCTTAGGATACTAGCTGGCACAGAGTAGCATTCAATAAATTGTTGTTGTTGTTGACGACTGCTGTCCAGTCGAGCATGATTCATAGCGACCCTATGAACAAAAGGCCTGAAGCCTTTCTATAACTATCGTCATTTATCAAAGTTCCTAGTTTCCAGAGGCATGTTGTTTAGGAAGTGGATGCCACTCCTGCTTCCAACAATAAATTATGTATCACTACTATTATTCATAATCTTACTATTGTTTTAAAAAATACACTTGAGGTTTTTTCCTCCAAAAACTGTGCTTCTAATTAACCTCCAGACACATTCTATTGTTCAGTATCCTTTATTGTTTATTCATTCAAAACAAATCATTGATCTAACATACAAGTGAGTAATCTTTTCTATAATGGACTTAAAACACTGTCATTGTCTTTGAGACGGAACCAGTTCAAGGTTACCCTTCCACGGGGTTTCCAGGTTGTTATGGAGGAGACTATCAATCTCTTTCCCTCAATATAACGGGCAAGGGCATAAATTCCTAGGCTTTGTGAATCATAAGGTCACTGTCACAATTCCTCAATGCCTCCACTGTAACATAAGAAACAGCCATATATAAATAAATAAGCATGACAATTTTCTAAGAAAAACCTTACTTACAAAAAACAAGCAAAAGTTCAGATTAGGACCATGGGCTATAGTTAGCTGACACCTGGGCTAACGTAAATACGCTGACCAACCATGTGCCAATCTGTAAGTGTAACCAGGGTGCTTGTTAATAGTGAGATTTCACATACATTGAGCCTCATACCTTGAAAGGAGGCATTATGCTTGGAAAAGCAGAGGGTCAGCAAAAGAGAGGAAGCCTCCGTGACATGGACTTCAAAAAACGACTGTAACAGTAGGCTCCAGCGTTGCCAGGATTGGCCGGGCAGCACTGGACAGGGCAAAGATTTTGTTAATCGGGTCACAATGAATTGGACTTGATTCCAATTCTTCATAATAACCCTCCTTTGCTGCATGTGCAGCTTTAAAATCATTGAGAAGGCATGACGCCTCTTCGTGCACAAACTAAACCCAATGTTGCTGAATCTCTTCTGACTCACAGTGCCCCACTATCAGGTTTCTAAAGGCTCTAAACCTTAACTGGAGGAGACTGCCTGTCTTCCTCCAGAAGAGCAGCTGGTAGATTTGAACTAATGACCTTTTAGTTAAGCAGACCTGCATGAAACATACTATGCTACCACGGCTCCTTTTCTTGTAGTAAAGTAAGGTTCAAGAAGAACCACAAACAACTGCTCTGAGTTACCTACAAACTCTAAAAGGTCCCCTTTGAAAGTGATCTCATTTGTAAGCCAGGACTGCCTATACACCAATTCCAATACATCACAGGCCTCTTACCTTGCTCACTGGGAATGTAGGTCTCATCATAATCTTCCTCAAGGACCAGCTGGTCTCCAATGCGGATGGGTCGTCCGGCCATATTTCATCTGGGCTCAAATACCTGAACCCAAGAGACCCACACCCAAAGGGAAAATCAGTGACTCAGCTTAGAAAGAAAGTAGACAGACCTGGCTCGTGCAGCACCTGAGTCAGGTAGACACAAGTGAGCCCAAGTCTCCACAGGAGCTGGGGATGTTGGAAGATGGGACCAGCAGCTCAGATCTCAGACTGTACGGGCTCTGATCCTAGGAAAGTTCCCAAAGGGAAAGGTCCCACAGGCCTTCTGAACCCTCTGGGAACCACAAGGACTCTGGTAGCCTGGCTGTTTCAGGACCTGACTTCATATCCACATCCACCCCCCTTCAAAAAGCAGTAACAGTATAGGACCCCAGCAACAAAGCCCTGGAGACACCAAGGTAAGCAGGAGCAGAGACAAACCCCACACAAACACACCCCAGTGCACAGTCCCACAGCAGGACTAAGCAGAATCCTCTACAGGGTTTCTCAAGCTGGACTCTCCTTCTGCCAAGGACCTCTTGTGGTCCAGTCCATAGGGGACAGTGGCGCTAACCCAAAGACTGTGCCTCTCTGGAGATTTGAATCCACCATTAGAATCACAGGAGAGAAATGGGCCATTCTTCCCGCGCAGTTTACAGCCTCAGAAATTCAATAATGTCAGCTATGAGGTGGTTCCGGTCCAAAAGCAATGAGAGGATCTTTGCCAAAGTATAACCAGGGCTCCTTACACTATGAGCACATCACCCGTCTTTGTTTACATTCAGAAATGCCTGCAGGCAGTGAAAGTAGCATAAAGTTTCAACAGTATGGTTGTTACATAGTAAAATAGATAAGGCCTAGCCCAATCTTGAGCCATTTAGTCACTGTGTCAATCTGTCTCACTGAGGGTCTTCCTCTCTTTCTTTGACCTTCCATTTTTCCCAGGATTTTTTTTTCCTGTGCACTGGGCCCTCCTGATAACATGTTCAAAGCTGTCACTGTTATATGTTGTCAAGTTCAGTATGACTCACAACAATCCTATGATTAACAGATCTGAACTCTGTCCTAGTCTGTGCCACCCTCAAAATCTCTCACACACTTGAGTCCACTGCTACAGTCACTGTGTCAATCCACCTCGTGGAGGGTCTTTCTCGCTTTCGCTTACCCTCCTCATTCCCAAGGACGATGTCGCTCTCCAATGAAAAGCCTCTACTAGCAACATGCCCAAAGTATGAAAGATGAAACTTTGTCATATTTGCCTCCAAGGAGCACTCTGGATGCACCTTCTCCAAGACATATCTGTCTGTTCTTTTGGCAGTCTGTGGGATATTCTGTACTCTTCTCCAACACCACAGCTTGAATTGCATCAACTCTTCTTCTATCATCCTTATTCACTGTCCAGCTCTCAGATGCACAGCAAGGAATATAAAAGACCATGGCATGAATGAGGAGTACATTAGTCCTCAAACTAACATCACTGCTCCTCAACAATCTGGAGAGGTCACTGATTGCGCACTTTCCCAGTGCAATATATCTCCTGATCTCCTGACTGCTGGCACCAAGTATAATGATTGTGAATCCAAGTAAAATAAAATCATTGACAATTTCAATTATAAGCTCAAAGTATATGAGACTAAATTACACCATCTTTGCCTCTAAGAAGAAACCTGGTGACCCTCCTCCAAGACAGATCTGCTTGCTCTTCGGCAGTCCTTGCGACATTCAATACTCTTCAACACTGCAACTCAAAGGCATCAAGTCGTCTTTGTTCTTCCTTATTCACTGTCCAATTTTCAGATACCCAGAAAATAAATTACTTATATTCTTATTAGTTGGCATTTTGGACCTCTAAAATGGTCTTTGTTGGTCCTCAACAACAGATTTGCAACATGTCTCTTGATTTCTTGACAACTGCTACCAATGGTGTTGATTATGGATCCAAGTAAATTAAATTGTTGACAATTGCAATCTTTTCCAAGTCTATCATGATATTGCCTACTGGTCTACTGGTGAGAATTTTTGTTTTCTTGATGTTGAGATGTAATCCATGTTGAAGGCTGTAGTCTTTAGCAGTAAAGATTTCAATTCTTCACTTTCTGCAAGTCAGGTTGTGTCATCTGCATTAATGTAAGTTGTTAAGAGTCTTTCTCGAATCCTGCTGCCACATTCTTCTTCATACAGTCCAGCTACTCAAATTATTTGCTCATCAAATAGACTGAACAGTTATAGAGAAAGGGGAGAACCCTGAGCACAAAATCACTCAGTGTTCCTTTGTTCTGTTCAGAGAACAGCTTCCTGGTCCAGGTACAGGTTTCGCATGAGCAAAAATTAAGTGTACTGGACCTCCCATTCTTCTCAATCAATGTTAGCCATAATTTATAATGATCCACACAATCAAATGCCTTTACATAGTCAATAAAACCCAAGCAAACATCTTTCTAATTCACTGCTTTCTGCCAAGATCTATCTGACATCAGTGATGGCAACTCTTACTCCACAGCTTCTCCTGAATCCAGATGCATTTCTGAAAGTTCCCGTTCAGTGTACTATTCCAGACAATATTTTTCATTACCTTCAGTAAGATTTTATTAAACAGTAGCAGAAGGGGAAAAGTTTCTTGCTCTTGGCTACTAAATAACTAAACACAGACTCACTGTGGAGTGGAGTAGAATTATTCTCTAGGGTTCCCAAGGCTGTAAATCTTTGTAGTTGTTGGGTTTGAACCACCATCCTTTGGACTAAGCATGTGAACAAACACTTGACCACTATGCCACTAGGGCTCTTACTACACAGGTTCGACAAAAATAAAATCAAAGCCACCACTCCACTTCTATCAAGTCAATTCCAACTCTCAGGGACCCTCCACCAGGTTTCCAAGTCTGTAAATCTCTCAAGAGCAGCCTGCCCATCTTTCTCTAGAGAAGGAGCTGGGAGTGGTTGGATTCAAGCTGTAAACCATTGAACTAACAACCTAATCCATCACACCCCCAGAACTCCTTGCTACCAAGCAGTATGGAATCCCCACCAAAGAAATAAAGGAAGGATTTGACAGAGAGCGGGGACCTGAGAGGTGACAAGAATTCTGATAGCAGAGACAGGCTTTCTAGACAAATGGAGCATCATGTACAGACCTGGGGTTCTGGTGTGCCGGCTAACAACACACATGGCAGGGGCGGGGCTGGAAAATCAGAGCAGAGGCTAATTATGAAGAACCTTAAAGACCATGCTGAGAACATCGACTGTACCCTGCAGCCACGCGAGTCCCTGAGGGCTGTGGTGAAGGGAAGGGCATGGGCAGGCCTTGCTGGAGGAAACGCACACTGGCAGGATGGCACGGTCAGACTGGGGAAAGGAGAGACTGAGGGCAGGAAAACCAATGTGGAGGACAGGTGCCCAGGTGAAATATGACAAGGGCTTAAATGAGGGCAAAAGCTGTGGGAATGGAGAAGGGAGAGGGTCAAAGAGACACTGTGATGTCAGACTTAACAGGCCTAAAATGTGGGTGTAAGGAGAGGAAAAGGAGTCCAACTTGAGTCCAAGGCTGACAGTTCCAGGGACGAGGTGTGCCAGACTCCTGACTGACAAGCAGGTTCCGTTCCACAAGCGCTCCTGTCTCGCCACTTCTCCTGCACTCAAAGAACCACATCAAACCTCCTCTGTGGTGGGCCCCACACTGAAGCCCGGCTGGTGACGCAGACTCAAGTCACCCTGTAAAATGGCTCCCTGACTAGCCCTGTTCCCAGGGCCTCTTCTGACTGGCAGGAGTCAGGACACTAGCTGTGACCAACAAGGTCTGGAGCAGCAGGTTCTCACCTATAATGCAGCCATGTCTTCACCAGCTGTCACTCTGCCACCTGGAACCTTAAGCATGAAAAGCTCCCTTCAAAGAGAAGTGAGTGGAAAGACTATCAACAAAAGAAGGCAGGAGCCTGGCCTGTGCTGACTGCTCAGTAAACAGCTGGACCCAGTGGCTCTAAATCTGTTCCAAGAAACCCAAGAGGGACCCTGAACAAATGACAGATGTAGCAAGGCTGTGAATGTGGCCCTTTCTGCATTCTAACAGCTGAGAGATGGGCAAGGGAGATGTCCTGCCTTGGGCCTCACCAGACATCCTTCCCTCTGTCAGTTCTGTGGGCTCCGTGACAGCCAGACCCCACCCCCTCCAAGTTCCCAAAAGGACACCTCCTCACAGTTACCTCTCACCTCAGCAAGAAAGTACCAAACTAAAAAGGATTGTTCTCTGCAATAAATATGCTGACAAAGGAATCTGTTCCCAACCCTACAAAGACAGGCTGCTGATAAAATACCCAACTCTCCAACACACAGTGAGGAAGAAGCAGGGCCTACCTTTTTCAAGCAAGGGACATAAGTACCAGGGTCCAAGGCTTTAGATGTGGTCCTCAGCTTGATGGCTCAAGGAGTCACCTGACTCTTTAATCCTCTTAGCTGAGGAGTGGAGGGAAAAGGGACAGTAGGCAAGCATGCGGAGGGAGGACTCAGGAGAGGCAGAACAACCTCAAGCGAGAAGCAGCACAGAGAGGATGATGCTGAGGAGGTGGGCAGGAGTCTGGTCATGCTGAGAACTTGAGAACTTGGCCTTTATCATAAAAGGAGAGCCAGGAGAGGGTTTTTCCAGATGAACATTTTAAAAAAGATTACGCTGCCATCTGTTAGGAATACAGGCTGACAAGGAGGCCAGCTCAGAAGTGAGAAAATAGAGTAGAGAAAACCATGAGACTCTCCAGACGAATTGTCGTTAGGTGCCACCGTGTACAACTCACACAACCCTAGGAAGATCAGATCTGAACCCTGTCCTACCCCATGCATCTTCATCATCCCGACACACTCGAACCCACTGCTGCACACACTCTATCAATCCACCTATCTCATTGAGGGTGTTCCCCTCTTTCACTGACCCAACACCTTTCCAAGCATGATGTCCCTTTCCAAGAAAGAGCCCCTCCTAACAACATGCCCAGAGTATGTGAAATGAAGTTTCACCATTACTTGCCTCTAAGGAGCATTCAGGTTGCACTTTCTCCAAGACATATTTGTTTGTTCTTTTG